CACTTCTCTACATTATTCAGTGCTCATCATGATAAGTGTACCCTTCATCAGGCATCTATTTTTTAAAAAAATGTTTAGTGAAGTTCAACTTCCCACTTTGAGTGTGGGGAGCTCTTCTACATTGGGGATGAAGGCTTGTCATTTTTTCCTTAGAAAATTCTTTGTTCCCCTACTCCTCTTGGGTTGATTGGCTGGGGCCCTGCAAATCTGACTGATAACTGAAATATTAACAAAAGAAAAAGATACAGAAGTTTATTAGCATGGGCATCTTGCATACGCTTGGGAGCACCCAGCGATGAGTGACTCACAGGGGTGATTAGAACTTGGGCTCTTACAGCATCTCAACAAAAGGACCGCACGTTTTCAGAGAAGTGACCAGACACAGGAGAAGCACTTTGAGTTTCTAGGGTGGCAAACTGTGGAAGACAAATATACGGTGGAGCTAATGGAAGACAAAGGCTATGTAGTCAATTTTATTATGTCGATTCCTTTGGTGACTTCTCTGGGCTGACAAGGTGACTTTTGTCCTTCCTGGCAGAGAGGGGAGGGGAAGCCCTTCCATAAATTTATGTCATGCTTTTAGCTAAATAGGAGGAAGGTGGAGAGCTTTCCTTGTATCTGCTCTTCTCAGTTGACTTCAGTTTAAAATAATTATTATGCCAGAGGTATATTTTGGGGTGTATATTCTGCAAATATATATATATATATATATATATTCATTTTATAACTGGAAATTTGTACCTTTTGACTCCTTTAACCAATTTAGCACATTTCATCTCCCCACCCTACCCTAGGCAACAGCTAATCTATTCTCATGCACTGGATTTTTTGCTTTTGTGGTTTTTATTTTGCTACTGTTGATGTTTAGATTCAACATATGAGTGAGATCATATGGTATTCATCTGTCTGTGTCTGACTTATTTCAGTTATCATAATGCCCTCAAGGTCCATCCATGCTGCAAATGACAAGGTTTCATTCTTTTTTATGGCTGAGTAATAGTCCATGGTATGTATATGCCACACCTTTATCCATTCATCCATCAGTGGATATTTAGGATGTTTCTGATATATTTTTAAGAAAGAAGGGAGAATAAGGAAGCATTCCCATGTCGGTTCTAACATCTGCAACAGAGGATGTGCTTAGAGGTCAGTGACAGGACCTGCTAGGGGAGCTGGGTTTAGAGGGCAGTGACAGGACCTGCTAGGGGAGCTGGGCTCTTAAACAGGCCTGACTCATTTAAGCCCTTATCAAACATATTTGTTCACACTATTTACAATCACAGCAAACATTTAATTAGGGCTTCTTATATTTGTGGTCATGTTCTAAGCACTTCATGTGCATTAACTGATTTAATACTTAGAGCAACCATATAAGAGAATCACTATTATTATCTTAATAATAATAATATTATTATTATTACAAATGAAAAATTGAAGCAGAGAGTTTAAGTAACTTGCCTAAAGTAATGCAGCTAAAAGTACTTCCTGGCTAGAGACCGGAGGCTGCAAGAGGAGACTTGTGTTTGTCTACTCAAGGAAATAATGCTTACACCCACTGATGAACACACAGAGTTCTTTGTCTACTTGTTTTCTCAATAGGGACACCATACTCCATGAATGAGTTGGTCTTAACCACTCTACTTATTGCTAGTACTGCAAAGTACTACAAGAATTAGAAAGAAGGAAGATGTGTAAGAACTCAACTCAAAGAGGTCAAGAATTCATGCTTAAGGGACCTGTAGAATCTTCTGTAGACTCTTGACTCTATCAGCTGGGGTAAAAGGCCCCAAAAGAAATATCTTGAAAATCATATCAGAATGAGGTATCCCTCAAACCTGGGAAGGTCTAATGATAAGGTGATCTGTGAACAGAGGCACACACACACGCCCACGCCACCACCACCACCTCCGTTAACATTAATCTTTTGGGCATGGGTCTTTTTGTCAGCGAGGCAGATGTTACTATAGAAAAAGGCACAAAAGAGGAGAAAGATTGTATTGAAGAATAATGTCCACAGAGAGCAATGGAGGTCAAACAGGGCTTTTGGGCAGAGCTGGTTGAGTCGAGGAGGAGAACCCAGGGAGACAGAGATGTGGGCAATGGGAGGCCATTGGACTGAAAGTCAAGAAAATGTAGAATTCAGTACTGACTGCATTGGGAACTCTGTGGGACTTTATATCTATAAAACGAAAGCAGGGTGAGGTCAGGTTTAGCGTCGTGTCATTCCATGATATGAGAAAAGGAAAGGCAGAGACAATGGAAATAAAATGCCTCCTTCACAATCTTACCAGCTCTCTCTACTTTGTGTGTTGAACCCTTAGTATTGGCACTGTGTATTAAAAAGTAAATAAATAAATAAATAAAGCACTACTCTAACTGCTTTCTTAATTCTTCCTTATAGAAGTATTTTTACAAACGATACTGTACTAAGTCACATTTCTAAAAGGAAATGATAACTTGAATGCAGGAACAGAAACCAGGGCCAAAAATTTGTTAATATTTCTTCATTCATTCACTCATCCATTTATCGAATCCACAATATTTGTTGATCACACACTGCATTCCAGACACATGCTAGTGCCTGGTAGATAGTGTTAAGTAAGTAAAAGTGGACCCTGACCTCTTGGAGATACCAGTTTAAAAAATGAATATACACGGGGGCAGCTGGGTGGTTCAGTGGTTGAGTGTTTGTCATGATCTTGGGGTCCTGGGATGGAGTCCCCGAGTCCTGCATCGGGCTCCCTGCTCAGCGGGGAGTCTGCTTCTCCCTCTGCCCCTCCCCCTGCTAGTGCTCTCTCTCTCTCTCTCTCTAGCTTGCTCTCTCTCAAATAAATAAATAAAATGAATATACACATGTAAAAATAAGTATAAATAATGAAAAGTGACATTGAGGAAGCATTAAGGGGAGGGGTGCACATATGCTCTTTGACCTGAAGGACTCCTCTTAGGTAGTGACACCGGAGCTGAGTTCTGAGGAATAAGCACCAGTCTTGGGAAGCTTGGGGAGAGAGTCCCAGGCAGAGGGACAGATGTGTGGAGAATTGGAATTATGGACGGCTGAGCCCACTGGAATGATGGACAGAGTGGTGCACGCAGGTGGGGTGGTGACAGCACCCCGTGCAGGTCCAGGCAACAAGGTTCACTGTCTGTACAGAGTTTAGAGACTCATAAGTCTGGCTAAAGGTTGTTCTGCTTCTTAGTATCACCCACGCTCCAGTAATTCTAGCTTGGTCCTCCTCACCCTTGGGTAGCCGTTGTTTGACAGAAGGTCCGGGTGCCCAGGAGGCTGTGCGGGTGATGTTCCTGCTTCCTCTGGGCTCTGCACTCACCTGCTTGGTGGTCTGAGGTGGTAGGGAGATATCTGGGCTTCTGATCTGCTCCATCCTGGCAGCTGGAGCCCACCCTTTCTCCTCCTCATGGGGAAAAGCTTTCTTGCTCTCCCCTGGTCGTCATCACTGACCTCAGAACTTCTAGGGTCTGAAGTCCAGCACTGGGCTCCTCTGGCCTCCCAGCAGTGAAGACAACATAGTCTCAAGCAGACCTTGTAGGAGAAAGAACACAAAACAGATAACTGTGTGCCCTGCCTCCATGTATCCTCATTGCTACTATTCCTCACAATCCAGCCACTTCTGGGACCTTCCTTCATGTTCCATAAAAGCTAAATGGGCCTAAGGCAACCTTTGAAAAAAAAAAAAAACCCTGTGCCTTTTTATTGACCTGGAGGAAAGAATTTACTAAGAAATTTCCAAATCCCAGTATGTGACAAAATGAGTCATCAGAAAGAATGGCCTGAGATTAATTGTACAAATAAAATGAAACCTTTGATATTGTTCCCTAGGATTGCTTAATCTGAAGGAGAAGAACATAACTTCTTTTGTTTTCTGAGAAGACTTTTCATGAGTGCACCAGAATTACCTGAATCATTTTGCTTCAAAAAGCACAAATCCTTCTCCGAAGTCATTAGGAAACATTTTATAGGGATGGAGCTTCATCATCGGATGGTTAATGAGCAACCTACCAAGCCCTCTGAAGCTCAGGCAGAGTTCCACATGATCTTTCTGTAGACTGGGAAGAAGTTCCATTACTCTTTAGGGGAAACCACATTGAAAGTGGGGTTCAGGGAACATCTGGCTCTTAGAGACATCTGTAATGGTGCAAGCAGCTCAGGTGTTTTTTTAATATTTTATTTATTTATTTGAGAGAGAGCGAGAGAGCACAGGCAAGGGGAGGGGCAGAGGAAGAGGGAGAAGCAGACTCCCTGCTGAGCAGGGTGCCCCATAGGGACTCAATCCCAGGACCCTGAGATTATGACCCGAGCCGAAGGCAGACGCTTAACCGGCTGTGCCCCAAACATGATCATGTTAAGTAATATCTACCAAATATTTTAGTTGATATCCACATGCTGAACGTGTCATGCATTACTGAAAGACACTTCTTAAATTTTAGGGTCTGGAAAAGTGAGACACACAGTGGGACAGGGGTGGGGTTCTAGCACCAAGTTTGGGGGTATTTTTAAAGCCAGGTACACGGGAAGCCTAAAAGGCACAAAGAGTTGTCCCTGATGTTCCAAGTTTCCAGAGTTTCTGATGCTCTTCACCTTTTATTACTGTAAGGGTTGCAGTGTTTCATTTTGGCTTTACTTTTATTATGGGGCCTCCTTCCTTGTACCTTTGCAGTGATTCCCAACCCTCTCTGTGCCTCAGACACAGCCAGGGAACCTTTAAATAACACTAACGCTCGCACCTTACTCGCTATACCCTCCTCCCAAGGTTCTAATTCGGTGGCTAGTAGTGGGATCTGAGTCTGTACTATAAAAGAGATGCTTAGTCAGACTTGAGAACCACTGAGCTGAAACACTGAGCTGGTTCTCACATCAAGGCAACAATCTGGTTAGGGAGACCAGACTTAATGCACAGGAAAAAGGCCAGCGAGCAGCATGAGGAACTGTGTGGTCCTTGTCGTGGGTAGGATGGATCAAGGAGGTTTCACGGATATGAACCATGAACTGGGCTTTGCGGGAACCATACAGCTCCCAAGCAGGTGCAAAGACAGAAGACAGAAATGAACGCAGCATGCTCCTGAATTCGCTGGCGTGTTGTGAGCACAGACGAGAGGAACAGATGAAATTGGAGAGAAAGGTTGGTTTATCAGTGTGCTCTGTTCACCCTGTGCCTTAGTCTTTCAGGCTGCACAGAGCACAACTCTAGGGGGCGCCCTCCACAAGTTAGTCGATGTGGACTCACGCACGCACACTTTTGGTAAATATTCCTTCTCTTCAATCTCCTCCCCGCCACCTTCCCCTGTGTCCCCACTGAAGTCTCATGGTGGTCTCTACTTCCATCTACTTCTTTCTTGTTCACCGTTGTTGTTTTATTTTATTTATTTACTTTTTTACATTTTTAAAAAAGATTTTATTTATCTATTGGAGAAAGAGAGAGTGTGAGAGAGAAAGCACGAGCTGGGGGAGTTGTAGGCAGAGGGAGAGGGTGAAGCAGGTTCCCTGCTGAGCAGGAAGCCCCATGTGGGACTCAGTGCTTCACCGACTGAGCCACCCAGGCGCCCCTCCAGTGTTGTTTTATGACCATGGCTTGAAGTCTTTGCTTGTGTCCCTTTCTCTGTTTTCCCACTTCTGTCCACTGTCCTCTAAGACCCACTTCTACCTTCCTTGATTCCTGAGCCCAATGTCCCCTTTCTTTCTGTTCCCCGGGGTCATCCACAATGACCTCAACATCACAAGCCCTTCCTCTCCTTTCTGGACCGCTCGCTGCCTCTGCTCCAAATCAGCCACCCAACGTGATGGCCCATGAACTCTCATCGGGACCACATTCGGTCAGCAACATTTAGGATTTGGCACCTCTGCCTCCTCTCTAACTCCATAACCGGTCCCATTTCCCATGAGATCACATGCGCTGACTCTGCTTCTGGTCCTTTGTGTTGCTGTCTGCTTGTCTCTCTCCATTTCCACATCCGTCCAGCTCCACCTGTTGTCCGTGAGTTGTCCATTCGGTCTGAATCCCAAGATGAGCTGCTCCTCCCAATCCCCTGTGGTCAGACCTGTTTCCTAACCTTTGTTCTTTGCCCCCCTCACCTTCTCCACCCTTCCTTGATTGAAGAAAACCATGAGCCTTTCTTGTCGCCTCAGCCCACCGAAGCTTCCTCCTGGGTCTCTACAACCGGAGGTTTCAAGCAATGTCCTATTTGTGTTCATGTCCTGCAGCACTTTTCATGATCGCTGCCCCGAATTGTCCCCACCATGTTCCAGAGCCTCTTCCTTCCTTGTCTCAATCCTGTCTCCTTAGTTATTAACCAGTTTGTCGATTTAAATGCAATGGTGGCTTCTTGAGTTCATCTGTATATGCCTGTCTCTATTGATGATAGATCCATATTGGCATAAAGCCTGAAGATCAAACCACAGACTTTCGGGCAAACATTTTAGCCAGTGTGAAGTTCTTTGTATCCCAACCACCTGCTTTTCCTCTTTTGCTTTGCTCAGAGCTGGGATTGTCATCCGGTTTGGGACAGTCAATGTTTCCACTGTTATTCTGTATCTCACCAGCTCTTCATTCTCTTTCACGATCATCTCTGCCCATCTTCCCTGGCTCCTCGTGTTTTTTAATAATGGTAAGAGAAGCTGACCTTAATTGAGGGTTTATTCTTATGGGTCTGATCTGAGCTCAGTGCTTTATCTGTGCAGTCGCAATTCCGTGACCTGATAAAGAAGATGTGATTTTTTTTAATTAAAAAAAAATTTTTTTTTTGAGAGAGAGAGAGCATGAGGGGGGTTGTGCAGAGGGAGAGAGAGAATCTGAAGCAGACTCTACACCCAGCTTGGAGCCCGACTTGGGGCTCGATCTCACGACCCTGAGGTCATGACCTGAGCCGAAATCAAGAGTCAGATGCTCAACCAACTGAATCACCCAGGCGCCCCAAGAAGTTGTGATTATTAAATGTAGAAGGGAACTAAGCACAGAGAGGTTAAGTAAGTTGTCCTAATAACACGACTCTTATGTGGTGGGGTTGAGATTGGAGCCCAGAGGGTTTGCTTCCTGAGCGTGGGTTTACGACCCCTTGACACCAGCACTTTGCCTGCCGCTGTGCAGGACTTGGCCTGGACCCTGCTGCCTCCCTCTGTGCACCGCTCGCTCCCGCTTGGCTTTCACAACCCAACCTGCCACAATCCCTCTCGTCACATCGCCTGATTCCTCATAGACCCTGTGCTCAGGGCCCTGTGGTCTGCCTTCTGCCCATTGCTCTATGAGCATTGGTGGTCCTTCATGGTCAGATCCAGAACCTCCCCTTACACTCCACTCCCTAAGTCCATCTTCCTTCTCGAAATTCTTCCTTCTTTGCACCTGGGCCATATCTTTTTCCGGTTTCTCCTGCAACCTCCCCGACCACTACTTCTTTACCTCTTGCCAGATATCGCTACAGCTAGGTCAGCTTGGAGAAGAATCTGAACACAGAAGCAGGAAGCGGCCCAGGGCAGAAGAGGACTGACCAGTGTCCTGAGCGTGTAGACTGTAGCTTGACTGGGGTGTAGGTGGAACCAGACATGACCTCAAATGCAAAGACCTATAGCCAAAAGACATTGTGAAGGCTGTTTTGCAAACTGCCTGCAGTAACGAGAACCAGGGTGTGTGCGTGCTACGGTCATTCCCCTGGCTTTCATTCCTGGCCCTGCCACTTATGAGCTGACTATAGGTTAGAAAGACAACCTCCCTCAGTTTCACTCATACAAAATGGGTGTGATAATACTATTTAGCTGAGAGGGTTGTGTGAAGGTTAAATGAACTAACCGAGGCACTCAATAAAAGTTACCTCATATTATAATTTATTCATACACCTACTCACCAAATAAACACTGAATGCCTACTATGTGTCAGGCGTATGCGGGATGCTGGGGATACAACGTACGAGTACAGACAGAATACCCACCCTTATGTAGCTTTCAGTCTAGCAGGGGAGATAGCTGTTAGTAATACTTGTGCCTTTATTTACGTAAAGATTTTATGTAATTACTTTAGAGAGAGAGCGCGAGAGAGCACATGCACAAGTGGGGGGAAGGATAGAGGGAGAGGGAGAGAATCCCAAGCAGACTCCATGCTCAGCATGATGTCCAACGCGGGGCCTGATCCCACAACCCTGAGATCATGACCTGAGCCAAAACCAAGAGTTGGAAGTTTAACCGAGCCACTCAGGCGCCCCAGTGCCTTTGTTTACTTAGATCAAGGGTACAGATAAGGCAGTGGTAAGAGTTGAAGTTGGAAAGACAGGATTCGTGAGATCTGAAGAATCCTGTGTCAGCTCAAAGAGAGCATCCTAACTCAATTGGTCACCAAGTGACCAAAGTTTTCAGTAGGGAAGTGACACGAAGCTGCTGCTTTTGATGGGTGGCCTTGGGGCTGGAAGGGCAAGACAGAGAGAAGCAAGACCCTGCTTCTGCTAGTTCTGCAATAGTCCTGGTGAGAATGACAAAGATCTGAACTGGTACTTTGACCATGAGGATGGACAGAAGAGTACTAAGGAATAGAATCATCATGACAATTTCCCAGGTTCTCCACTGGTTTCCTCTTCACCGAGAGTTCCCCTAAGTCCCAGAATCTTCAGAGGTCAGCAGAATTCATAATAACTCTTCCCTCAACCCCAGTGGACAGCCTCTTCCTCTTTCTGGGCCCCAGCTTTCTGTTGGCTTTCCTTCTGCCCTCGTCAGTGCTTTTGTGACCCTGAGCTGCCCCCTGGTGGACACTGGGAGTTCTCAACAGCATAGAACCTTTTCTGGGGTTCACTCAACTCCTGGGACCCACCACTTGTGTGTCTAATTGAACCAGGGGGACACTTTACTTTGCACACACAGGAACTCTGTGCCTGGGTATAGGAAGATTAGGAAAGATTAGATAAATCGGGTTAATATGTTAAGTATGATCACTCGAGTGGGATTCAGAAAGCACTCAGAGGCACCCGGTGTCTCTTGAAGGCAAACTGTCTACTTTCCCCCTTCCTCCTTTCAGCGGACTCTCTGAAAAGATTTTTGAGGAGCCCAAGCAGAGGGGGCTTATTTGGTGTCCTCTGGGAATGTGGGCCCAGCGTCACAAGTGTTGTCAAAGCTCTTAACTTTTCTTAAAGCTTTTAACTTTTTAAGAGAAGCTGGAAAGCCCGACGACATGAAATATTCCAGTATTTTTCATGTTGTAATTTAAAATGTTTAGACAAGAAAAATTAACTCTATAGCTACCCATTTTCAATTCACAATTGTGTAATTATGTAGCTCTGTGTGGTGGACTATCAGTTCCCAAACGCTAGACCTACAAATGACAGCAGTAATTAGTGGCAAATTTTCCCTGATTTACAGTGAAATTAAAAAAGAAAGACAGTGAAATAAGTTTTTCCATATAGCTAAATCTATCTAATATAAAGGATGGCTTTTTTCTCTCCTGTGATTGTATCCTTATATATTTTGTTAAAATAGTTCTGTTTTGCATGTACATTTATGTTAAAGTATCTTTTATTTTACAAAATGTTGATTTTGCTTCTCATGTATTCAGTTGGCAAAATTAAGAGTTGGTGACTTAACATTGCCTGTTGTATTTAGCTCCGTTTTATTTGTTATTTAAATTTAAAAGACAGGGCATCCCTACTAAGATAAGGGCGACTCGATGAAAGTTTTTGAGCAGTATTTGTGCTTAAAAAGGACTACTCCTCTGAGGTACCTGGATGGCTCAGTTGGTCAAGTGTCCGACTCTTGATTTTGGCTCAGGTCGTGATCTCAGGGTCGTGGGATTGAGCCCCACGCTGAGCTCTGGGCTCAGCATGGAGTCTGCTTGAGATTCTCTCCCTCTCCCTCCCCCTTTGCCTCTCTTCCTGCTCACACTCTTTCTCTAAAATAAATAAAATCTTAAAAAAAAAAAAAAGAAAGGACTATGTCTTGACCTTATAGTTGATGTGGAAGATGCATTGGTTGGAGAGACACTTGAGGTCCAGGGTGTGACAGTCATAGGGTGTGACAACATAGAACAATTTTTACTTTATTCCTTTGTTTTGTGACTGAGGACACGGAGACATATGAAGGGAAGAGATTTGTTCAAGGTCACCAGGGAAATAGTAGCAGAACCACGATGACAAGCCAGTTTCCTGATAGCAGATACACGTCCTTTGAACTGCTCGGGTCACTTCTGTGTCAGCCAGACAGAAAACCCGGGACGCGGCTGAGCCCAACTGGTGACGAGGTCTAGTCAAGGGATGACTTCAGGGTAGTAGAAAAGTGATCTGTGTAATTGTGCATTTCTACTGCATTTCGGACCCCTGTATCGTGCTCATTTCCTTTTGGGGTACAGAAGCTCACCTCTTATCTGCTACTGAGCTGACTTTCCGTTAGGATGTTTCTTTCATGAGTTGGGCCTTGGGCTTAAAAGCACCTTTCAAAAGCTCACTGGATGTGGTATCTGGCAATGTTAGAACGTGAATTGATTAGCAAATGTACCACCCCAGCTTTGTCACTCAGGTCTGCCTCAGCTGGTGCTTATTAACCGGAATCTGTGCTTCTTTAACTTTGTATTCCTATTGGTGAGCTTGTGTGTGTGTGTGTGTGTGTGTGTGCGCGTGCTATATTCCCAACTGGTAAATATATTTCACGGGGTGAAGAGTAGTGCATTTTATCCTCCTCCCTGTCCCCCGGCAACTGCGGCTGGCGCCCAGGAGAGGTCTGACTTTGTTACCAAATTAAAGAATGACCGAATAAGCAGGAACAATAATTTTCCATAAATTGAGCCCCATCTCTGTGCCCGGTATTATTCTAAGTGCCTTTTTTTTTTTTTTTAAGTCTCTAATTAAAATCAGTCTGAGAATATTCAGTATCTCCCTACCATATGCCAGGGCTGTGTTAGTACTGGGGATATGACTCGAATCGATTCCAGTGATGAGTGGAATGATGCAGCCTCTGTCCGCAGGGCTCTGGCAACCTGAACTTGGACGCCTCCCCTCACTTGTGCAACCTCTCCCCATGCCTGCGACACGTGATTATAAACCATTAAGGAAAGAATGAGAGTTATCTAGTTGCGGCCAACCAGTGCCAGCATCAGGAAAGGCTTGATAAAGTAAAAATTCAGTGATGGCACGAAGGACAGACAGGTCAACAGGCATCCAGTTGGGCAGAGAGGGGAAAAAAGGATTTGTGCGGAGGGAGCAGTGAGGGCAGGGGCTCAGATGGAAGGACCAGAACATGAGATATTGAAAACAGAAGAGAGGTCCAGAAGGAGGGGCAGAGTGGGCACAGAGGTCGGCTTTGGTCTTACTGGTAAGCTCCCATTGTGCTTTGCAAAGCTCCTTTGAACACTTTCGAAATAAAAAGCGTCGAATCCAGTTAATTAAGTCATTTGTTATTTATATGTTATTTGTCTAAAATAGGTCTTTTCCACTGCACCGGGTTCCTTGAGTACAGGGGGCCATACATCATTGTGTCATCACCTAGGGTGACCCTAAATCCCTCCCATATGCCTATTTTGTCTTCAGTGAAATCCTGCCTTTCTATCCACCCACCAGAGAGTTTCCTCCCTGACCTGAGTCTGCAATATTGTTTCCATGTTTTCCCTCATTAGGTGGACACATCTGTATGCCAGGCAATCTAGGAAATCCCAAGAGCTTCCTCATGGATTTAAGCTTGGATTTAAGCCTAGGCATGATGGAGACCAAAGATCTCACCTACAAAGCAATCTATTGCAATCTGGAAACACTTGAGCTTTAAGTGACGGGGTGAGGATTTTTCTCTTATGGGGGTTCCATTATACCTGTATTGCAAAATCTGCTTTTGTGTTTCCCGTCTCAGCCTGTCTGCCAGGCAGCCTACCAGAATGACTTGGGTCAAGTGTGGCGGTGGGTGAGAGAAGACAGAGCCTATATCAACGTTCGAGATGGCTTGAATGGAGACACTCCCCTGATCTGTGCTTGTAGGCGAGGACACCTGAGAATCGTTTCCTTCCTTTTAAAAAGAAATGCTGATGTGAACCTCAAAAACCGGGTGAGGCCATGACACATGAATGGGGAGGGTCACTGACCATGGTTACCCTTTCTCTTCACAGCAGTGAAGTAGTGAATGCCGTCCTCTTGTTGCTCGTAGCTCCTGATACCAACTTTTTTTTTTTTTTGCCTTACTTTAGAGGGACAGACACATACTATTCTATTAAGCTAAAAAGCCAAATAAATCACAGTTCAGTCAGCAGGCATATTTTGTGGTAAATTATGTCCTCGTACTTCTGAAAAGAAAGGTCCTTGTTCACTCGTTTGACTAGTGAGAGCTTCTTCCTTTCTTTTCCTCCTCCTCCCCATGCTGTTCCCTGCCTTCCCGCTTCCCTCTTTGGCTCCTCCTCCTCACTATCACAGAAGTAATGAGAAAGATTTCCTGGAAAAAAACATTGACCTCCTGGTGTTATGTCATTAGGTTTTTGCCTCCTGGGTCAATGTTCTCCAGAAGATCCTACAGTTTGCTTTTGGGTTGAAGAATGCTAGTGAGACATTTAAGGACAAACAAGCTCATGAACCAGAGGTTCCTTGAAAGCCACACAGAAAGGCATAAAGATTGTATTTAAGATGCAGTGTTAGCTGATGGGATCTTCAGAATCAAGGAAGAGCAGAATACGTGTGTATTGCCATGAGCATCCTTTCAGAACAACTTCCAACATTCTGAATGTGTCTGCATCATAGCAACAAGCAACATTTGAAGTACACTGAGTAAATATAAAAAGTCATTACTTGTAATAATTATGAGTGCCCTGTCCCCACTCACATACATTCAGTGAGGAAAAGCAGCCTATAGGGCCCCCCTTGCCCCTTCTGGTTCAAGACCAGCTCATTTGCAGCAATAACATATTATCAGAAAATGGATTGCTCCTGGACCTTCTTGTTTATAGCTACTGTTTTTTTTTTTTTTTTTTTGCTTGGTTGGGTTTAAAAACAAGTCAGGCCTGCACTGAATCTCACAGATATGCAGCTTAGTGGAGTATGACACACTCTCCCTAGCTCACAGCTGAGGAACCAGATGTGTGTGCTTGCAGTGAGTGGGAGTGATAAAGACAGATGTCTGTGGGTTCATGACCTCTGTCGGGAGACGTATTTATTCGGAAGCTGTGGGCAGGAGATGTTGGTCAACACAGGGATTGGCCCGAGAAGGGACAGAACCTGAGCCAGCCTGCTGGGATCCTCTGGTAATCATGAACATCTTGGAAAGGACTTGAGGGATACGTTAGAAAAATAGAGATATTATCACAAAAAGGGTTGGGCTTACATTTTCTGTTTTTAAAATATTTTTAATGGCTTTTAAATGTTTAATCTTCTTAATTTTCCCCCAATGTTAATCTTGGCACATTAATAATTTAACCAGTGCCTTCTCATTTCTTAAATCTATGTTTAGGACTTATTTTCAGAAGTACTAAATAAACAAAGGCCTTAAAATAAAACACACAGTTCTGCTGGCAATTCATATGCACATGCCTAATAGAGAACATCAATTCTATGGAAAGCAAATTAAATTAAAACATAAATATACCTTTTTTTTTTTTTTGGCTTGTCAAATTGACCAGGATTAAAAAAGGAAACCGAGTGTTGATCATGAAGGAAGTTTAAATCATTATGATTTTACCAGAGCACAATTTAACAATACAATATGAAAAGCATTCATGCCTTTCACATCAGCAATTATACTTTTAGAAACTTTTGCTAAGGATGAATTTGGAAATGTTGACAAAGCTTTATGAGTGAGGATGTCCAAGCAGCATAATTTATAAAAATAAAAAGTTAAAATCTTGGAAAGTCCAACAGATAGGGTTTGGTTAAATAAATTAGAATAGCTCCATTCAATAGAAAGACATGCAGCTATTATAGTCATATGTTTAGAAGTTTTAAATGGCATAGAAAATGCACGAATTCTAAATGTGAGTTAAAAAAAGCAGATATGATTTTGCATATGCAGTATGATCCCACATTTTAAAATTCCACATAATGCATTTATTTTATTTTATTTTATTTTAATATTTTATTTATTTGACAGAGAGAGAGAGAGTACAAGCAGGGGGAGCAGCAGAGGGAGAGGAAGAAGCAGGCTCCCCACTGAGCAGGGAGCCCGATGTGGGGCTCGATCTAGGACCCTGGGATCATGACCCAAGCCAAAGGCAGACGCATAACTGACTGAGCCACCCAGGCGCCCCCACATAATGCATTTTAAAAGACTGGAAGACACTACAGCCAAAATGTCAACAATTATTTCTGGGCTATGATAATGGGTGATTTTAAATTCTGTCATTATATCCTTGTTTAGTTTACAAATTTTTTACAGAGAGCATATTACCTTGATATTAAAAAAACAAAAATTATTCTTATTTAAGAACTGTGCCTCCCCCAAGTTGAAATTAACCTCTCTTTTCTCTCTTTTCCCATTGATTTGGTTGGTATTCCAATCATCATGGCCTGTTTTGCATTATATTTATTGTGTTTGTTTCTGTCTACCTTTCTTTGATTATGAGGCCATGAGGCTTTACATCTGCCCACAGCCCGTAGAAGCTTAAGTCTGTTACCTGATAAATAGTCACATATTTGAAGAATTAAATTGACTTATTTCCATTCTTCCAGCACTGTATGTATGCATGTACAAACAGGGAAGATATGCCACGTGGTTAAGATTTTCCCAGAAACAAACCACAAAATGAATAATTGTATACCAGAGATGTGTCAGGGATAACGATAGCTTTTCACACTGAACTCAGTCTATGTTTCTATCTCAATGTATTTTTTCCCCAAAAAACTAACATGTGTGTGAGAATCCATCTTATTTTTAAAAAAATATTTATTTATAGATTTTCGAGAGAGACTGTGCGTGAGAGGGGGAGGGGCAGAAGGAGAGAGAGAGAGAGAATCTCAAGCAGACTTCCTGCGGAGCCCACGGGGGGCTCGATCCCACAACCCTGAGATCATGACCTGAGGCGAAACCAAGAGTTGGTTGCTAACTGACTGAGCCACCCAGGCGCCCTGAGAATCTTCAGATTATACAATGGAGAAGTGGCCTTATTAATCAGACACACTCCACAGAAAGAGTTGCCATGGGTACCATAAAAATAAAAAGCACAAACCAACCTTTTTTAAAAAATAATGTAGTTTTTTTTTGTTTTTTTTTTTAAAGTAAGCTCTACTGCCCAACATGGGGCTTGAACTCACAAACCTGAGATCAAAAGTCTCATGCTCTACCGACTGAGCCAGCCAGGCGCCCCACAAACGAAACTTTCTGATATGGCAATCTGAAAATATGAAATTTGAAATAAATATTAATAAAAAATTTATTTTCTCTATTTTGTTTTCTTAATTTTCAGAAAGAGAGAAACTGCTTGCATTATGCTGTGAAGAAAAAATTTACCTTCTTTGATTACCTACTCATTATCCTCTTAATGCCCGTTCTGCTTATTGGGTATTTCCTCATGGTGAGTAACACCAGTGTGATCAAAGGGTAAACGGGGAGGAGATCAACAGCATGACTCATCAAGTTTTGCTGGGCCAGTCAGATGTAGAGAAACAGTAACAAAATAAGCTCCTGGTTCTTATTCTGTGCCTAACATAACATAAAAAAAAAAAAGAAGAAGAAAAAATAATTATTTCTAAAAAAAAAATGACATTTCCAACATCTATTTAATGCTGGCATTGCAGGAAAGTGAGAAGAAAGGTAGCCAACTAGGTTAATCTGTGGTAAAATCATCTGTGCGATGTTTATTTAGAAAAATAAGTTAATCTTGATTAAGAATCATCCAAAGAAAGCAGAAAACCCCAAATATTAAAAAAAAATTCCCCTGCCACGTCTTTTCTCCTTTTTGGTCAAAAGAGCTTGTGTCTTTGTACACATCTTTGAGTTTCTGATTTTTCTGGACCTGCCCTTGTTGTGTGTTAAAAAGCAGATCCCAAGAGATTTGCAGCCAGAAGTTGAGAAACACGGAACATCTTTATAGAGCATTTCAAGCCAACATTTTACCTTGACAGAGTTGAATAACAAAAGATATAGTTGGTGTAGGAATGCATTCATTTTATGAGTAGAAGATGAAGCTTGAGATGGTTATTTTTGTTTTTTCAAATTGAGTGATAGCTTTGCACTAACTCATTCCCTTCTTCCCACCTTGTTACCTGGAGTCCGGTTCCATCGTTGAGAGATGACTCAGCAGATGTGTCACTTAATCCAATTAAATGACCAAGCTCCTTTCCCTCTGTAGCTAATAGACCATGCATGTTAGTTACTTTTGCTACCAGAGGCTTCAGAACAGAGTCTGCCAGTTGGAAGTGTAATTACCTCCTTGGGTATTTAAATGTCACAGAACTTGTGGAACTCTAATCAAATATGATCCTGCCGATTTTGATGCTTGGATTTATGGGAAAAAGAAAACATAAGTCCCTGATAAACACATAATCTGCTTCTATCCTGGAAAAGTTCTTGAAAATTAACTGCATATTTAGTACAGAGCTTTGGTATATTTGTAGTTTCAGGGCGGGCGAGGGACCTACCATTCATTTCCAAAACGATCACAAGGGTGATGAGCAAGACTCGTTCAGAATTTGTTGACACACAACCTTGCTTTCTAAGACCGTCGGAGGTTTAAAAGCTGGAGGCTTTGGCAAAAATACTGATGGTAATGAATAACTGCCTCTGATTGCGCAATTTATCCTACTTATTCATGGGGCCGGAAACTGCACATTTGTGATGCACAAGGCGTAAGAGAACATTTTAGAGGAAGGGACCAGAAAGGACTGTGTTACTTCAGAGAAAGGTAGGAGGAGACAGGCAGTTTCCACGTTGACGCGGGAGGGAATTAAAAGAAAGAAGGAAAGTGGGTGGGGCTTCCTGCAAGGCAAAAGGGATGACCTTCAGGACTTGCCCATCTGTTCCCTTCGAGAGCTGTGCTCCCTAAAGCAATGGGATGTTGGGGGGATGCTCAAACTGTCCTGTGGTCAGAATCTCAGGGGACTGGGCAGGAAACGTGGATGTCTGAGGAGTCTCGTTCATTTCGTTCCTTTGTTCGTTCATTCAGCACATACTTACTGTGGACCCACTCTGTGCACACACTGCTGGGTGGGAGGGATGCAGTGGGGAAGCAAACAGGTGTAGTCCTTGTCCTCGAGAGAGTTAGAGAGTAGTGAAGAATGGGTCATTAATGAAATAACCACAGAACGCATGTAAAATTACTACAAAGTAGGTGATACAGGGAGGTGATCTTCTCCCAGAAGAGAGAGATTTCACCCAGCCGGGTAGGTCAGGGAAAGCCTCCTGGAGGAAGAGGGGCTTGGGCTGGGATATTAAAGATGGATTTACCAGGCAAAGAAGGGAGGTCTAACATGGGGCCCCCGAATTTACATTTCCAATTTCCCGGGTGCTGATGCTGCTATTCCAGGACGGCACTCTGAGAAATCCAGGCTTTCCCTGACTGATATTGGAGGGGGCGGGGTGGTGGGGGAAATTTTAAGAAAGGTGCATAGACGTATAGACATGTTGGGGTTAAAATAAATCCTGTTGAGTAGAGTAGTCTAGGCATAAGATGGAGAAAAATTTCGTCAATGAACCTCTTCTGTACTTGCTGTTTGTAACAGGTGTCAAAGACCAAGCAGAATGAGGCTCTTGTCCGAACGTTGCTCAATGCTGGTGTCGACGTGAATGCCAAAGACTGTGTAAGTTCGTGTGTTTAGTCATTTTGAAAGACTATTCAAAATGGTTTTTGCAGGCAATGTCTTTGTCACCTACAAAGTTACTTGCTTTATTTTCCTAGACACTTCGACATTTTCCTTTGCTTTCTTTATATTCCATTGTCTTTCCTTCTTTTCGTTTTCACTGCTAGTCAGGCCACCTTGAAGTGGTTTGATGGTGCCACTAAAGTCATGGGAATAAAATCTTTATTGGCGAGAGGACATTTTTTTTTAAAAGAACCGCTCCCCCTTTGGTGAGAAGCTATGAGAAATGAAGGCTCTGCTAAGAAACTTCCATCCTCCGTAGTTAAGACGCTGGAGGCCGAATGCCTACATGTCAGTCTAGGCTTGTCACTTTTTGTCTGTGTGTGTTGTGGCCAGGCATAAACTTATTGGACTCTCGGTTTTCTCACCTGTAAAGTGAGGACGTTGATAGCACCCATCTTGCAAGGCTGTGTGCCTGGCGCTTAGTAAGCTCAGCGAGTACCAGCCGCTGCAGCCAAACTCCCAGCCCACCTGTAAGAGAGGCCCCATCTGTAAACTAGATCGGTAAGGATCAAGGTCACAGAGCCCAGGTGGTGCTGAGGGCAGTGACCGCCGAGCGGCAGCCCCTAACTTCTTCCTGTTTCTAAATATCAGGTTTTGTTTTCACCTTTCGCCCCTGCACGCCTCTTCCTCGCTTAAATGATCATAAATGGATCAAATGTTTATTTGTATGAGCTTTTATTTGCTTCTATTGATTGGATGAAATTTTGACTTCCCAATTCTGTATTGAAAAAGTAGGCAAGTTGAAATTTGAGTCGAAAAGAACCAATATTTTCTTTGTGGCCCCTAATTCATTTTATGTTGTGTGTATCTGTGTGCGTGCGTGCGTGTTACCGTTTTGTTTTGTGATGGAGAAAATGTGCCCATCGCTGTTTCTATTCATTATTTACATCGTCTTAGTTTTGGTTATATTGGTATTGTATGTTTAGATGGAGGTAGCTCCATGTGCCTGTGTGTGCATGTGTGTATGTGTGTGTGGGGGGAGAACACAAGAGAATAAGTTTATGAAATGCATGTTTTTCCTTTTATTTAAAATAGGATTTTTGGATTAATTGGAGTAGATGACCACTGTGCTCCACCATTTCCGTAGATAACTTTGAAATGTATTAAGTAAGATGTTATTAAAGATTAGGTAAAAGATTTGTTGAAGATTTTTCTTGGTCTTCTCATTTAAATTCAAAAGGTTGAAAACTTTGTGATGAAAATTGCTCTAGGATATTTTTCTCGTTCTCAGTGTGTCTCTAGCTGGATGATTACGTTCCTGTGCACACCCGTGTGCCCCCATATGCATGCAGACACACCTTCCCCACCATTTTTCTAAAACGGAATGTTCAGATCGTTTTTCCACCTTTAAGTGATGCGGTGCATTGTATTTTCAGGGAATTAGACTATTTATTTCACATGGGAACGTTCAGCGCCAGATCTTCCACTTACCATCTCACCACTTAAAAAAATGAGTGATCGCAACATTATTCGCTATGATCTCAGAAGAGTTAATAAGGTCTGATATTTTGTCCACATACCAAAGCCATGGTGGCTTGGCTGCATTTTGAAAAGCAAAATTGGGGGGCACAAACACCCTAGCTGTACATTTCTTATCACTTGGAGTTAGTGTTTTAAACTGGTACCAACAGAGCAGATCCACTATTTCAGAACAAGAATACAAGCTCCAGGAAACCTGTATGGGCGGCTTCTCCATAGAGCTGCGCTGCTCCTCTCACTGTGCTAGGACAGTATGAGCACAGCTGCCTTCTTCAGCTTGTGGGGACTTTAATCAACAACCACAGAGGATGATATTTGCAAAAAGGCCCATGAGGGGACCCGTTGGGAGAAAAGATGGCAAGATGATCAAGGGGGTCATCGCCCAGACATATGGAATCCTACCAAGAATCCCTGAGATAATTCGGCAGTAGCGTTGTTTAAGTTGGGAACAGAAAATGAGAGAGGAAGATCTTAAGGGCTTATAGGACATGAATTATATGCACGTTGAGGTGGGAAAGGCGTGTTAAGTACGAGAAATGTAGTTGTGCATAGATGGCTTGCGACTGGTTTGCTTAGCTGTAGGCTGTGAGATGTGACACGACACCTGCTAGGGTCGGTGGAGCCCACTGACGAGCCGCAGCGTCGGTCCTCTGTTTCAGGATGGCTGCACCGCGCTACATTATGCTTGCCAAATGAAAAACCAGACCCTTATTCCTCTGCTGCTGGAAGCTCGTGCTGACCCCATGATCAAGAACAAGGTAAGCATCTGTGGACCGTTGTCTGAAGTCTCTTCCAGCAGCATCATCTTCTCATTTTAACTTTGTATTGAAGTGAATTAATTGGCTCTGATGTTGTTAACAGCAAAACTAATTGTCCTCATTAAGCAATGAAGTTATCCTATTACTGTTGGAGCCGAATGACATTTAAAGCCTTTACCAAGCATGTGAGTCAGTCAGTCTGGACTCTTCGCTAGACCTTTTGCTTTGACGTTGGACTGTATTGGAGATAAATAACTCTAATTTCTTTTTCTCTTCAGCGTGGTGAGAGTTCCCTGGATATTGCGCGGAGATTAAAGTTTTCTCAGATTGAATTAATGCTAAGGAAAGCATCATAATCTTTGTGGCCTTGCATGGAGAAGTAGAAAAAGTTAAAGGACTGGATTCTATCTCCATTTTGGACAATTGCTCTGTGGACCGTTGAACCTGGATGCTATGATTTTTTTGGTAACCATAATGGTGGTTTCCATAGTTAACATTTTGGAAGAGCTTTGTATTTAGAATTTTCTTTTGCCCAGTGGAGTTCACCATGGTCACGATCCTTCTAGGAGAAACACTAAAGCTCTTGGAGGCTCCATTTTGGTCCAAAAAAAGGTGACGTTTCAAACTCAGTCTCTTCCGAAGAAGAGGATCAGAGTTACCTGGTTCGGTTTTCTCAGCTGTGTGGCTCTTACCAAGAGGCTGTCCTGTGGATATCATGCCCAGAAGACAACTCTTTCTCTCCGTCCTTTTTGAGTAGTAAGAGGAAGATTCAAAGTATCCATATTTGTATAGACTGATATGTTAGGGGGATGGGAGGTGAGCTTCATATGTAAATATTTACTTGGTAAAACAACGTCAATAAAATCATCCATCAGTCGTCAGGGGAGGGAGTATTTATGCCACAGTAATTGGCAAATGCTACAAGTCAGAACTTTTTCTTTTTCTTTCCAGAGAGCCAATTTCTTTTTTTTTAAATTTATTTGAGAGAGAGAGAGAGAGAGAGAGCACAGCCAGGGGGAGGGGCAGAGGAAGAGGGAGAAGCAGATTCCCCGCTGAGCAAGGAGCCTGATGCAGGACTCAATCCCAAGACCCTGAGATCATGACCTGAGCCAAAAGCAGACACTTAACCTACTGAGCCACCCACACACCCCTCCAGAGAGCCAATTTAACCAGCATACCTCTAGACATTTTGCTTTTGATTTTGAACAAAATTACGAAAAGATCAAGATGTTTGTTCAAAAATATCTTTCTGATTCTCTTGTGAATGCAAGGTAGCTACTAAGGTTGTTCATTCTGTTTATATTCTTTGGTAAAATTTAAAATAGTATTGTTAATTATTAGACAAAGGATTTCTTTTTTTTTTATGTTATGTTAATCACCATACATTACATCATTAGTTTTTGAGGTAGTGTTCCATGGTTCATTGTTTGTGCATAACACCCAGTGCTCCATGCAGAACGTGCCCTCTTTAATACCCATCACCAGGCTAACCCATCCCCCCACCCCCCTCCCCTCTAGAACCCTCAGTTTGTTTTTCAGAGTCCATCTAGATAAAGAATTTCTTTACAAGAAATAGAGCAATAGGATGTGATGGTATCTGGATTATACTTCTAGAGGAGAGAGAGAATATCAAAATAATATTTCTCAAGTCCTTTGTCAGTGAGACAGAAAAGAAATAAACACATTTAAAGATGATTGAATTTTGCAAAGCAAGACTGAGTCATTAATATCTTCAGACATGGACTAAGCCACACTACATGTGGTAACAAATAAACAGTCTAAGAAAGAATGATTTGCTATCCTTGAACAGAATAAGGGTTTAATGAAAATCCAATCCAGGAGTATTTATTGAACTATGTACAGAGCCTTAAGGTACATGTTTTGTGAGGGAAGTAGTAGGGTGTGGATATAGATTCTGAAGCCTTTAAGTGTCTCTTAAAGTATTTAAGACAGATTTGCATTGAATGAAGTTAGCAGGTGACTCTGGGGGATTGAATAAACAAGCGAACTTCACGCACCAGTATATCTTCAATCTGGTTTGCAAAATTACACTCTCACTCACGTAATTTATAACTGTCATCTTTGAAACTGTGTGAACATTGAACATTTTTCTAAAGAAATAAATCCAGATTTGTGGATGAGTCTGGGTACTTGTCAAGATCAAAGGAGAGAACACATGACAGTTTGTGTCATTATGCTCATGACTTTCTAAAGCTTTCTTCCCAGTTTTTAATTTTTGAAGGGAGAAAAGGGGCCGGATATTGGTAGCCTCAGGCAGTAAACTCTCATATGAACTTGGACTTGGCACTAGGTACTGAAACACAGACGTGCTCCATGCAGGGCATAATGTACTTGCTGGAAAAGTCACTAAATATCTTACCAGATTATTTCCTCTGAGACTCAACTATAAAACTTGGCCCTTTTTAATGATGCTTAAAATATATTTCGTCCATACTGTTCTTTTTCCATCTCTCTCTCTCTTTCTTTCCTAAAACAGCTCAGCTTCCTGAGGTAGCGTGATGTCTCTATGGCAATAAGGTGAAAATGTCTAGCTTATTTTGTTGTAGTTACACCAATCCAGACATTCAAGACCTCTGTCTCTGTCCCAATCCGTCATTTTACTTGACTGTTCCAAAAATATGGCTTCTAGGAAAAAAGTTAACATTGTAAAGGGGTCTACCTGAATGACATAAAGAGTCCTAGTTAACTTCTGGCTGTCAGGTAAAACCTGCTCTTCAGGATGGCAGAATATATAACACATGAAACCTATGTTCACCCAATGAGTATTTTAACTAGCTAAAAAAAATTTAAATGTCCGTTTTAGTGTCAAATACAGGAACTCTGAAAGAATGGGTATTATATCTCTGCCCTCCCTTCCCCACCCCCTTCTACTGATATGGGAGGTTTCTAATTTCTGGAAATCCTGAAAAATCCTAAGACTCATTGGTATCGGATCTTCACAGCCTGATCCCACACTTTCCCTGGGAGAAGCTGGTCTCCTCCTGCTTCATCAGATGTATGATCTCATTGTACATACGGTGAGGAGCATCCAAGCCCCAGATGAAATCCACATGTGCCCACTCAGGAATGTTCTTATGGTAGATGAGATTGGTCACCTCAGAGAGCAGTGTCTTCACGTCCTCTGGATTTGAAAGCCAGTCCTGACCCCCAGTCCACACTGCGGTGGGGACCATCATATCTCCGACTTTGTACCTTATGGGAGTTGGCTAGAAAAAAGGAATCGTTTTTAACTGTCGGTAACATATGGATTTCCAAACTCACGATTTATATTTCAAGTCAACAGAGTCAAAATATGTCATGTGTTGCGAAGAAAGGTGCACGGGCACCGCAGCCAAACAGGACCCCATCCAGAGTTGTCTGTTCAGCCCCTACTTGAAGGTATAGTCGGTTAGCTTCAGTTTCTTCATCTAGGAAATGGGGATGACGCTTGTAAAAACTTACAAGGTTAAGTGACAAACCATGTAAGTGGCTTTCCACCTTAAGCATGAATTTTCAATTATTTTCTCCTTATTTATAAATATTTAACACATATGTTGCCTTTGGAAGATAATGTTCCTGTCCTTTTAAAGGCTGATTTCACAAATTTCATGAGGCCAGAGGGAGAGAGATTCTCGAGAGAAAGGCAAGAGATTGGAGTCCCCTGAGAAGGTAGCTGGGTCTTCACAGAGACTTTCTGGGAGAACAGAAAGGCCTTGAGGCAGTCCAAGCTCAAAACCTGGGGAAGTCAGAGGCCCCAGAACTCGGGTCATTTGAGCGGGGGGGGGGGGGGGGGGAGGGGAGGGGTAATGATTAGACCCCTGCTCCAGTCCCCCATCACCTGAAGAAAGTCATCTAGGATTCCGAACTGACGATCTCCCTTATTCATGCAATGCTTCTAGATCAGACTGGCTGGCTGAGCCCTGAGGTTAATCAAGCACCCAGAACTTTCCACAGCAATGTTGAGCCCCGATTCTTCTCAGAAAATCCACCATGGAGCCAAGGCTTCAACCCAGGAGTCTTGGTTGATTCTGTGGCTTTCTAAGAATTTAGAGTTCTAGCCTGAGACTGTGATTTACAATAACGAGTATATATTTGGTCTTCTGGCACAGACCTCCTCTTTACCCTTGGAATTTACTCAATGACCAGAGCCAATAAAGTGTCTTTTGTTAAGTTAAAGAGGTGACTTTTGGACTTGACTTAAGGATGGGGGCTGGTTGAAATAAGTCAATCAGAGAAAGACATGTATCATATGACCTCACTGATATGAGGAATTCTTAATCTCAGGAAACAAACTGAGGGTTGCTGGAGTGGGGGAGTGGGTGGGAGGGATGGGTGGCTGGGTGATAGACACTGGGGAGGGTATGTGCTATGGTGAGCACTGTGAATTGTGCAAGACTGTTGAATCACAGATCTGTACCTCTGAAACAAATAATGAAATATATGTTAAGAAAAAAAAAAAGAAGAAGATAGCAGGAGGGGAAGAATGAAGGGGTGGAAATCGGAGGGGGGACGAACCATGAGAGACGATGGACTCTGAAAAACAAACTGAGGGTTCTAGAGGGGAGGGGGGTGGGAGGATGGGTTAGCCTGGTGATGGGTATTAAAGAGGGCACATTCTGCATGGAGCACTGGGTGTTATATGCAAACAATGAACCATGGAACACTACATCAAAAACTAATGATGTAATGTATGGTGATTAACATAACAATAAAAAATTAAAAAAAGAAAGATGGGGGCTGGTCGCCAGTGGAGCCAAGCCTGTGATTAGAGGGTTGGAACTTTCAGCGCTGCCCCCCACCTCCAGGGAGGGGAGGGGGCTGGAGATTGAGTTCAATTGCCGATGGCCAACAATTGAATCAATAATGCCTATGTGATGAAGCCTCCATAAAAACCCTAAACAAGGTTGGGGAGCTTCCAGGCTGCTGAACAAGTGGAGATTTGGGGAAAGAGGCCAGCTAGGAGAGAGCTGGAAACTCCTTGACCTTCACCCATACACTTTCCTCTGCATCTCTTCCTTCTGGCTGTTCCTGAGTTACAGTCTTTTGTAATAATGGATGATCTAGTAAGTAAAATGTCTCTCTGAGCTCTGTGAGCCAATCTGGCAAATTAATAGAACCCAAGGAGAGGGCTGTTCGAATCTTTGAGTATAGCCCCTGGGTCCAGAAGCATAGGAAAAACCTGGGCTTGAGATTGGCATATGAACTAGAGGGCAGTCTTAGCGAACCGAACCCTTACTCTGATGCTATCTACAGATAGTGTCAGAATTGAGTTAGATCATAGGACACCCAGCTGGGGTCTGGAGACCTGCCTGTTGGTGGTGGGGAATCTCCCTGTGCCCATACACACATAGGAAGTTGGTGATCAGAGTTACCTTTCATGGTCTAACTTAGATAGGAAAGGTTGGAATATTCTACGGCGCCAGTCATGTATTTTTCTCATTTTACAGGTGAACTGAATTCAGGTCTAACTCTAAGGAGCTGTGATTCTAGAATGCCTTTTTTGCCTGCGTGTTTTCTTTTTCTTTCCTGGGGCCTCCGTTGCCTGAGCTGCTTTCTCTAGAATTTAAAACATTAATGCTGATAAATTAAAACCATCTCGGAGCCGGAATGCTTTCTCCAAAGACATGTATTAGGAAACATTGAAGAAGGACCTAATAAAAAGTAGTTGATGCCCGTGACTTAGAGTTTGCTGGTCAGGGCACTCCCCAGTCTGTCTGATTTCCTAGGCTTTTATATCTAGACTGATGTACGGGAGTGGATGTTACGTATGATCCAAGACTCTCAGGGGTTGCCCTCTGTCCATTGGGCTCCCTCTGGCTTTATGTTTGTATGGTCAGCATTTGTTTGTATTCATACACAAGCTAACCAATAATCTTCAGTGGGGATGTTATGCTCAGAAGAGTATAGCACCCACTTCTGACTCTCCACAGCTGTTCATTTTATTCTAGGGCATTGGCTGTGCATTTTCCTAGATAATGTAATACCTTTTCACATTTTTCCCTTGCAAATGACAGATGCATTAAAAGTGTGACCAGCAGAACTCTTAAGGATTATCTAGTCTAATAATAATAATAATTATTATTATTTTAAATAGGCTCCACACCCAGCTTGGAGCCCAATGCTGGGCTTGCACTCATGACCCTGAGATCAAGACCTGAGCTGAGATCAAGAGTCGGACGCTTAACCGACTGAGCCACCCAGGCACCCCGGTCCAATAATTTTTAAAGATAAAGACATTGGGGTCTGCAGAATGAAAGCAGCCTATCCATGACCCCACAGGTGGTAGGATGGAGGCAGGACTCCCAAGCAACCCTCACTTGCCACTGAAGGCCCTTTTATGTGCTATGAAGCAAACTCGTTCCTGCCATCTTCATCCCTGGTTTTGTTTTTTATTTTTATCTTTTGACCCTAAGAGGATCCTTCTAGTGACCACCAGAGTCTACACTTTTCCCTTCACCATATCTACCCCAACTTGCTCCTTAGAAGCCCAAGTGCCTTGTTCATGGCGGCCGACTCATCAGGAAAGTTCTCCTACTCTGTTATGAAAGCAGGAAGCCTCTTGGCGAAGCTGTGAACTTCTCTCTCTTCAAATGGAGTCAAGCCCGAACTCAGATTTGATCCCCGCCTCTACAAAAAACTGTCATTATAACTTCCCTCCCATTTATTTCAAAAGGATGTGTTTGATTTTCTTACCTGATTGCCTTTCTCCAGATTTTTGGTCTCGTTCCCCCAGTCAAATGCCCGGAATTCCCCGGAACTCAGTGCCTAAAAGGAAACAAATTGACATGGCCTTCAAATGCATCCCTGGATAAGGGTGGGATGAGCAGGTGCTACCAAGTCTGCAGTCGTAAGCCAATTGGAGGGCAAAAGCTGAGGAGGCTCTTCCACTCGGTGTTAGGATAATCTTCGAGAGAGCATAAGGGCGAGTAAGGCCCCTTCGGGGAGGAAAATGCACTGGAGACGCACTTGCCACCTTGTCCTACAACTCCAGGAAGTGCATCCCTGATGTAGTCTGTGTGTAGGTGGCTGTCTCCGCAGGCTGCCACGGGAGAGCGCCCCCTAGCGCCGTGCCGTGTGGTGATTCAGGGAGAAGGTGACCAAAATTTCATCCAATTCAGAATTCTTTCCTTTTGATTGTAAAGTCTCGCTCCCCGTACACACGCACACACACTCACACACACGCAAATAGAGCCATGACCTTAGAGGAACAATTTAGGCTCTAAATCGTTAGAGAAACAGATAGGACCAATATTTATGATTTTTAAAGTTCACCCTCAGTATGCTTAAAACTTTCTGCTTGAATTAGGAGCCCTCCATTTTTTTTTTTTTCAACGAGGCTGTGGTTGTAGTAGTTGAGAATCTAAGGTTAACTACGCTCTAGCTCTCTGTCTTTATCTCCATCCTTCTTTCCAGAGCAAATCAACCACTCTTCAGTATCATCTATAATGAGCAATATTAGGCACAGTGCTTCTTTATAGGTGAAGCAATAATTAGCACCCACACTGTCCTGGAGTGAGTTCCAGATGATCCGAGATCTGCCCCACTGCCCCCAGAGACAGTTCCTGTGACTGGTGATCAGGACCCTCCCTTCTGTGATTGCGGGTGAAATCTGCAGCCCAAGGACTCCTGTGAATTAGGTCCTGCCTTCTTCGCATTTTTATTACCACTCGACCATTGTGCTGAAGAAGCCGAAAAGGAGAATGGAAACGTGATCTCCAGCTTCACGTGAAGTCACACTCTTAAGGTCCACTAAAGATTTCTTGGGCCAACCCTCCCCCCCACCATCTCCTGAAAAGATTCAGTGTTCTGGATCAAATTCACGGTCAAAACAGCATTGCCAAGATCATTGCCCATTTTGGAATAAATGTGAATTAACACCTGGGCTGTCAAAAGGACATCCTTTGACTGCTCCAGAGAAAATACACAGAGACCCTTGGCAAAGACAACAGAGTTAGCATTCCTACCTGGCTCCAGTGTAGGATATTTTGCACAGACGTTCCGGCCAGAGTGTGAGCGACATACACATTTGCTCGGCTCTGTAACAAAACACGAGTGGTTTGTGGGGCATGGAAAACTCACAAAACATGCATCTTGTCAAGACCACGTCTCCAGGGTGTCAGATTGAGAAATAGGAATATCATCAAGTTATCAGCAATTATTCACGAATCAGTAATATACACACACGCAATAAATAAAAAATGCCACCAGGTGTATCCCCGGGCACCTGTATTTTTTCATCTGAGAAGAGCTTCTCTTTAGACATCTGACTTCTTCTTTTAAAAAACTTTACCAGAATAATTAAGGATGAGGGCTCTAGAATTGGGTCTGTATTCAAATCCTACCTCTGCCATTCAATTTTTAGGTCGATTTGGGAGTTATTGAATGCCTTAAATCTCAGGACACTAGTCTGTAAAAGGAGGCTATTGATCATACCTGTCTTATAGGATTGTTACAGGGAATCACTTAGCCTGGTACATAATAAGTGCGTATCAAATGGTAGCGATTAATCATATTGTTAAGAAAAAAGGAAAAAAATCTTCAGAAGTGAAAGATATATTCCTCCAGCTTCTAGAGGTGCTGCTGGCAGACAGCACCCCACTATCAGGCTTCCTTGGGAGGCCACCCCAGGTGCAGACAGCTGCCCTGCCCAGCGTCTCCCCTGGCGACATCTGTAGCAAGTGACAGGTTGAGCTGTGAGTATAAAGACCTACCCTCTCACTGTAACTTAGGACAGCTTAGAAGGGTCTCCCCATCTTCACATCAATTGAGATTCCCACAGAGACTGCATAACAGCTTGATGTTTTCAATCTACTAAATCCTGCTTCCTTCCCTTCCCTGGTGTCATCCTAAGGGTATAACCCCAAATCATTGTGCATACTCTTCTCCGCCTCCAAATCTATGACATCAATGTCTAGCGATGCCCTTATGTCAACCTTGACTCAGCCTGTGTTGAAGTGTTTTCTGCATGTTAGTATGGCTTGAAGAAAATGGAATAAGTCTCCCCTGGCATTAGCTCACTCTCAGGAGGTGAGACTCACTCCTCGCTTTGCTTTGGAAAACTAAGAATTGACTAGGCTCCCACTTACCATGTTCATATTGTTTGTATTAAATCCTCCCATAAGAAACAAGAAGTTGCTACAAATCTGATCAATAATCATCTGACCACACAGGTAAATAGCAAACTGTCTGAAGAATCTGGTCTGGTACAGAAATTCTTTTCTGCCAAACAGTCCCTGTAAAAATATGACATGGAATCGTAGTCATTACATCAGAGTCGAAAAGAAGTGAGTCTAATTTAAAAGCATACAGATCTTCCAAAACTTATAATGGAGCCCATCATAAGTTGAAAATATTGTAAATCAAAACCTGGGAGCTCTGGCTGCTGCCCAGCATCACGAGAGAGGTTTGTCTCAAATATCACTAGGTCAGGAAAAGATCAACATTTAAAATTCAAAGTATGGTTTCTACTGATTGCATATCGCTTGTGTACCATCATAAAGTCAAAAGATCATGAGGTCGAGCTATTGTATGTCGGGGCTGTCTGTATGTCTTAGCAAATTGGGTTGGAGGACAAAGGAGGACTACGCAGACAAAGAATTATCTGAGGAGTCACATACCTTGATCATCATATCCGGCAGCAACAGAAATTTGGCACCAGGGCTTTTTGTATGTTTAATAGTGGCTATGGGTGCTAAAGCAAAATACATTTTGATTTTCTGAGCCAGTTCTGGCATGGTGGAAAAAGCAACAAAGCCTACAAGAGAAGAGATATGTCAGTGTGGATATTGCCTATCCCAGAACCCATAGATGCTGACTGTACTTTTATCAAGTTATTTCAGTAACTATGTGTAATTGGGTCTTAACTGTCCTGGGAAAGTATAAGCTCCTTGAAGGGGAAAACACCAGTAGCCAACACCTGGCATATCTTTTCCAGCTAGTAGGTTCTCACTGCATTATTGAATTAAACTATCGAGTCCAATAGTATGGACTTTGAGAAAATATATATACAGAGAAGTAACTATGTGCCAGACACTTTTCAGGGCACTTTTTTTGTTCTTATCTCATTGAATTCTCAGACTCTTATGAGGTGTTTTTAACAAATCTCTACTTTACAGTGAACAGAACTGAGAATTAGAGAAATCGTCTGTTGATCAGTAACAAGCAGGTTCTGTAATAAAATGGGTGTTGGGATAGCAGGGTTTCTGCTGGTCTCATTGATTCCTACCTTTTCTGGAACCCAAACTGTAACATGATCTCCAAAAACCAGTTGTTTACGGAACTGGATCCTAACTCTTACTTTTGTCATAGATCAGGTCTGGGGTCCTGGCTAAATCAGTCTGTGCCCCAGTTTCTAAGCCTATGAAAGTCTCTGAATTATCACCAGGTAGGGACCATTCCTGTGGAGCCTTGGCGAGAAAAAAGGCTATCATTTAAAGCCAGGGCGTGGTCACTGTATTTGAAATACTCTACATCTCTGCACTCCCTAGCTTGGCTGATATCTGCAGCTTGAGTGGGAGGGGAGCGGGGCAGAAGAAGACTAGTATCATGTGACTCCCTCCCCCCAACCCACCCCGGTTCCTGGGGGTGAGTGAGTATTCATGAAGAATGCATCCTTCTCAACTTTTCCCTCCACATGATTAAGCTTGCTAGCCCCATGCAAAGGCAGGCCCAAGAGTGACTTGTTCCTCTTGCTCTCCCAGGTGTACCATCAGTAGGATTGGGTGGGAACTCCATTAAACTCTATTCCAACTGGATTGTGACCCTATTAGAACTCCTCTCAAATGTCAAGTTTGAGAACTCTCACTAACTTCTCCCAGCGATACTTTCTCTTTATGCAAAGTTAGTACAGGTTCTCCATCTAAAGAGCTCCATGGTTGACAGCTAGAAGAATCCCATGCTTTTTTGCCCCCTTTTGCTTCTCGAAATGGCATTTGGCTTCATCATCAGCACCTTTATCTTAATGTCAAGCTGGACAATTTGAGTGTAGAGCAAAGAAACTCTCAGAGGCCTCTAGCCATTAGAGCAAGAGCGGGGGATTAACACCTCAGCTTGCTTTCTGTCAAGTGTGTGGTGAGACGTGGCATCCCCAGAGCCATTTAATGTTGTTGGAAAATCCAGAGAGGAAAATGCGAAAGTCAGACTCTTTTCATTCGCCAGAAAGCACCAATAAAAATAAGCCCACTGAACTCCTGCCCTGAGTTCCAGGGGGGGTGTGCTCACCTGTCTCTTTAGCATCCCATACCCTGGCCTTCCCCTATGGGTTTGGCTCAGGGTGAAGGTAAAGAGTGCTCTCAGCCTTCCCAGGGAGAACCTTCTCCCCATGACATACACTGCGCCCTTCCTTGTCCTGGTCTAAGCCAAGCACTTTTCCTACTGCCTTTGGTCTGAGAGAGAGCCAGAGGACACAGCCTCCACTCCCGTTCTCCCCATTGATGACCTGTATCCTACAGGGGCCGTGAGTTAAGGTTTCTCATAAATTCACCAAAAGCAAAAGGACAACAGCACGAAATTCCAGACATTGGCCTTAGAAGGGAAGGAACAAGACTTGAATGAAATCCGCCAGCCGTCCTGTCTGTAATGTGACCACCATGCTTACTGTTTATGTTTATTTATTTGAGTGCACACTCTGTGCCAGAAACTTCTCTTAGACTTGTGTCTTAGACGAAACCCCTGCCTTCACAGAGCTGATCCACATTGTCCCTGAATAGTTTGAACACCTCTAACTCCCCTACGAGGGAGTTACTATCTTCATTTTGTAGACGAGGAAACTGAGAACACAGGGGTTGCACAATTCACTCAAAGACATTCACCTAGGAGGTGGTAGAGCCAGATGTGATCTAATCCCACATCTGTCTGCCTCCAGAGCCCTTGCTCCTTCTGCTACTTTCGTCCCTGACTTCCATAGCCCTCAGAGTCACCGAAGAGGTCAGGGCCAGAGCTGAGAGAAGGTCGGGTGCCAGACCCCAGGCACCGCTGTGCGCCATATGCCCACATCCCTGACTGTACAAACCTGCTCCCATCGAACCTACCCATGGTGGTGCCCTGTGAATAGCCGACATAATAGATCTTTTCCTGGCCGGTTTTCTGCAAAATAAAGTTTATGACTGCAGGAAGGTCAAACTTAGCCATCTCATCATAACTATAAGGGGGGGAAAGACAAAGTTACATGAAAAATTAGAATCAGAAACAATGAAAGCAGCCCCTGGGGTTTACAAACAAGCACCCGAGTCATCAGCCCCACCAGCTTGTGACCGTGCCCCTCGAGACTCTCAGGATGGACTTGTTTCCCACCCGTGACACATGGGAGCCTCTGGGCTCACAGACTATTTGCACTATTTGTACCCTGCTGTTTCTCCAGATAGTACCACAGAGCGATAATCATCTTTAAGGAATATTTACTGAGCACATGATCTACCGCCTAGTGAAGGTGTCCTGCTATACAGTTAGCAAAGCAACACCTGGCTGAACAAATTCATTTGTACAGAAAGGATTAAAAATGCTGCAGGGGCCCTTCTCCGATGACATGGATGAAGAGCAGGTTGAATGCCAATAGGTAATTTACATAAAAACCTTAAAAATCTTTTGTAAGACCCTGAGATATGTATTAGCCAAATTGATGGTCCCTAAGGCTTAATAGTTTCCCCGATACCTCTAATGTTGTCTGATCTCATCTCTTTCTGGTGGTGCCAGTTCTTGTCATTACTCAGGGGGGAGTTAGTCCCAGGGTACGCATCTGCAAGGACGTGGACCTACACCTTCTCTCAACCACCTGACACCAACCACCATCTCACCCTATTAGCCAGACCCATTCTTCTATTAGGGAAACCCAGTCCCTCCCTCTACTTCCCCCAAATTAAAACAATTGGGTCTATCTTGGTAGGATGTTGATGACCCAACCAAAGTAAATCATCCAAATGCTAGGAGCCATATTCTTTACTGGGTTCTCCCAAAGACATCTGTGTCTGCCTCCACTCAGTATACCTAAAAGCCCAGAACTCATCTTGGTCTATGGAGAGGGTCTTGTGTTTCCGAGACCAGGTGTTCCCCCTGCTATTCCCCAGCCACACGTCAAAACCAGCATCTGCCAGAATGAAGCCCAGGCTGCTGTTGGGCAGGTTGAAGATCCAGTGGCTGGCGTCCCCATTCAGGCCATGCTGCAGTAACACCACTGGCCTCGGACCTACGTGCAAGAGAATTTCAGCCATGAGACATGTTCTCCACCTTCCTTGTTACCCTCTAGTGTGCAAGCACTTTCAAGTTCAACAGACCCGCGTTCAAATTTTGATTTAGCTGCTTGTTAGATCAGTTATATTAGTTGGCCACTTAACCTGTCTGTGTCTTGATTTCCTCATCAGAAAAACAGGATTTTTGTTACAACTAAATAAAATAGTGCACAGGGAACAGATGTGACAACTCCTGGCATAGAGAAAGAATCAGTAGAGTTTGGCTTCCATTGTTGTCTTCCTGTAGTTCTTACTCTCACTCAGTGTGTCTGGGCACCACTGAGAATATTGGAAGTGCCCAGGACATAGTATAGTCTAATTATTAAGGTAATTATATGATTATAAATATAATTAAATATTACATAATTATAAATGTATATATAATGCATATATATATATTTATACCATAATGTATAATGGTTTAATGATTACGGGCCCTTCATGTCAAAAAGATTCACAAGCCAGCTTGAAGGAGCTCCCACTGACCAAATATGGGAAAATCTGAGACTCAAAATAAATAATGATAGCTATAAATCGTATCCCAGTGAATAAATTAAGAATGAGTGAGTCTAGGGGCGCCTGGGTGGCTCAGTTGGTTAAGCATCTGACTCTTGATTGCGGCTCAGGTCGTGATCTCAGGTCAGGGTCTCAGGGACCCATGATCGCTCGTGACCCTGAGATCATGACCGGAGATGAAATCAAGAGTCAGACACTTAACCAACTGAGCCATCCAGGTGCCCCACATTGTACACTTCAAATATATGCTATTTTATTTGCCAATTATATATCCATAAAGCTGAGATGAAAAGAATTTTTTTAAATAAAGTGAATATCACCAATATTGGAATAAGCCATTATCACGTGCTTCATGATATGACATGCTGAGGACACAACTTCACTTCTGCCATATTCGGACCAAAATGTATAACCTGAATCATATCATGAAGAAACATTGGACAAACCAAACTGAAGAGCGTTCTATAAAATAACTGCCCAAAAACTCTTTAAAAATGTAGAGGTCAAAAGAGACAAAACTTGAGAAATTGTTTCAGTTCATAAAGGAGACAAAAAGTCATGAAGAGTAAATGTGGCATATGACCGTGGATGAGACTACTGACCAGGAAGAAAAGCAAACACAAAGGACTGGTATCACTGAAAACATTTGAATATGGGATGTGCAGTAGATACTAATATCAATCAATGTTAATTTCTACTCTTGCTGAATGTATTGTGATGATAGAAGAGAACATCCTTCTTTATAGAGAAGGGGATCAGGATACAACCCAACCTACTGGGTCCTTGAAGAGGCCAACAGGAGCTGCAGGAACAACACTGGCCACTAGAGGGGAGTATTCTGCACCAACTGGACCAAAAGGGCAGATGGATGGATACCTTGAACTCCCAAACTCTGGGGCAGTAAGTGAACAGTGTAAGTAAACAGGATGTGAGAATAGAAACTCCATCCATGAATAGGGGTGCAGGTGACCTGTGAGCTCGGGCACCACCACAGTCATTCGATTGCTTGGGAGAGCTGTGCCTTGCTTACCTCCTAGGATTTGTGGGGCTCACTGAAAAGTTCTCTCTGCATCTCCAGGCTCTCTGTTTATTTGTATAAAATTCATTCATTCGTTCATTCGTTCATTCCACACATATTTATTGGCACCTAGAATGTGCGTGGAGTTTTTTTAGGCACTGGCTGTATAGCCTGCAACCAAATCAAGTCCCAGCTCCCAGTGAGTTTACATTCTGGTTGGGGGAGACAGATAATAAACCAGCAAATTATCTATCCTGCCAGGTGGTAAGTGCTGTAGGGAATGTAGCAGGATAAGGGGCCGGACTCTACTAGGTGGCAAGGGGCTACTTCAAACGCACTGAGGTTGGAGCATGCTGGACATACAGAAGGCACAGCTATGCCGCTGATATAAAAAAAAAAAGCTGGTTTTCAAAAAGCTGCACATGTGTAAACTGGAATAAAACAGAGCCCTGAAGCTCGTTTATGCCAAAGATGATAGCGTTTGCCCGGCAGTCTCTGGTCCTAGTTGAGAATATGGGCTAGAGTGGCAGACAGGTCTTGATTTGACTGCGGGTTTTACAATATTCTAGCAAGTGCTAGCAGAGACCTTCTGGACAAGTTACTTAACCTCTGTGAGTGGCAGTTTCTTCAGATTATTGTGGAAGTTAAGAGAAACTAATGCAAATAAAGCACAAGCCATCAGAGCTGGCTTTTAGAAAGAACATAGTATGAAATTGTGTTATCTGTACTCATGACAAATACTGTAGTTGCTGCTATAAATGTAGAGCTAGAGTATTCAAAGGAATACAGAACACTTTCATTGGTAATGAATGTGAATATTTTTTTAAAAACCAGCAATAGCTGAAAATCCCATATACAAAAAATGGGACTATATGAATTGAAGAAATGTATCAGAAAATTAAAAATGTACATCTATTGCCTGATGCTTAAAAAACTTCAGTGAAAAGCTGAGCAACATCTCAAATACTTAAAGTGCTATTTGGATGGGGAATACAGAGTACGCAGGGGTGGGCACCGGGTGCCATGTTGGAGTTTGCATTCTTCATGAGTAGGGGTTGATATGGTCTGTTCGAGAGACCATCAGTGGATATTCTAGAATATCTATATAAGAGGGGTTTGGGGAATGGGTTAAGTGCTAGAAAGGGTCAAGAAATGGACCTTTCTTGAAGGTCTTTTTTTGTTTTAAAGCAAACGTTACATTTCTTTGAAATCATTCAGGATATTTGGGATAAATGGGGTGGTGTTGATGGGGAGGACGGGGGAGTGAAGCTATCTTTGGCTCAAACAATGGGCCCCAGTCTATAACAAGAACCCAGACTCCCCTGTACACACACAAACCACAAGGAAATCATTACTATAGAGAAGGCTGCCATGTTGGGGCGGCATGGGGGTGAACCATACCTGTCTTCTTACGTTGCGCTGGGCCTTGAGGAATTCTGTTAACTGAAAGGATGTACCCATCTTCTGTCACAACTTCATACTCCTCACAAGGGTAGCCTTGATGTTGGATGATTTCGCTCTAAGGAAAAGGTAGTGTCTTTTGAGTTCAGTTCTGTATGGCTATAGTCTCAGTGATCCAAAAATAACAAGTAGCTTCCTTGACTCTGGAAGATATATAAAGGGGTCCCATCTCTTCCCTCGTTACTCATGTTATCTTAGAAAAACTAGCCAGCCCTCTCTAGCACTCACTTTCTTTGCCTTTAATGTAGAGACTGGACTAGAACAATGGTTCTCAAAGTGTGGGCCCTTGACCAAAAGGCTCAGCATCACTTGGGCCCTTGCTAGAGATACAAATGATCAGTTTCCACCCAAACTGATTGAATTGGGAACTCTGAGGATGGGGCCCAGCAATTTGTGTTTTAATAAGCTCCTTTGGAAATTCTGATTCACTGTAATGTTTAAAAACCACTAGACCAGAAGACTGATTCCAAAGCCTGTGTGCATGCCAAAATTATCTGGGGGCACTTAAACCTACAGATTCCCGGGCTCACTTCAGGTTAGGGACCAGGTAATTATAATGCACCCATTGAGGCATTCTTCCTAGGACAGCTTATGAGAACCTTTAGACCACGCGTTCCCCACAGTTCTTTTCATCTCTGAGAATCATAGATTCAAGAGCGGTAGCTCTTAACATTTTTAGGTCAGGGATCCCTCAGGGAATTTGAGGAGAACTATAAAAATGAATATGCACATGGACACACAGACACATTTTTTCTATTTACTCTCAGGGGTTCCTGATTCCTGGTTGCCTATATATGGATTCCTGTTTAAGGACCTCTACTCTACCCAGTCATTACATGTGGAAACTCTTTGTAAAATATGAAGCTTCAGAAATCTCTTCAGTAACCTCCCTATTCCCACCCACCCTCATCACCCCGAGGAAGGAATCATTTCTCGCAGCTTTAACAGGACCAAGAGAGGAGAAAGCCAGGGGTGAAATGCCTAGTGTAGTGCAAGGGAAAAGGGGCATAGTAGTTAAGAGAAAGGCCCTGAGGTCTCCCTGCTTGAGTTTTAATCCTGGTTCTAACACAAACTAGTTATGTGATCTTGGCAAAATAGTTAACCTGTCCCTGTTCCTCAACTTACTCATCTGCAAGTCAGGTATAGCAATAGTCTTTACTCCATGGGGTTCTGGCAAGGAATGTGAAGAGACAGTGCACATAGATAATACTCACTAGGTTACCTGGAATGTAGTAGGCATTCAATGAGCATCAGTGACTACTAGAATTAAAAATCACCCTCCTCTTCTCAAGTAACTCCTATTTATTTGCAGACTTCAGCTTAAGAAATCTTTTTCCAGAAAAACTTTCCTGAATTCCCTGGATTACGTCCCCCTCATCTACATTTTCTTCCTCGATTTCACTGCTCTTGTAATTAGTAACTGGGGGTCTATTTTCCCTGTTGGATCCTAAGTTCCATGAACTGGGGTCTTCTGGCATTCGTAGATCTCTCTGGAATCTCACTGACTAGCGCAGTATCACAGGCCTGTTAGGTGCTCAGTTAACACTAGCTAGAAAGAAACAAGCAAGAAGCCAGTTGTCTCCCAAAATACAGGATAGATTATATCCATAGAAATCCATCTACAGAATCAAACCCATTCAGGCTCTGAACCACTCGTATTCTATTTCATCGAATGTATCCCAGTAATTATATGGATTTCCTATTTTACTTTGCTTCTCCAGGCATAAACACTCAATGGCAGAGTCTGATTTAATGGGTTTTGGTATTAGGGCTCCTGAAGACCCAACAGCGCCCAGTGCTGGGCACACCCAGTAGGTGAGGTTCGGGGAGACCGGCTCTGCCTATAGCTGAAGACATTGCCTCCATGCAATAACTCAGAGGAATGTGTGTGGGATCTTCCCAGGGCCAGTGAGCTGGCGGGAGCCTCTCCTCACCTGGGAGGGTTGATTGCACGTTGGTTACAATTATGAGCTTTGTGTCCAGGCAGGCCCGGCTCTAAATTGCGGCTCTGCTACCTGCCAGTGGCGTAGCCTAACTTAAGTTGCTTATAGCCCCTTATTCTCAGGTCCTTGATTTGAAAAATGGGGATGATACCATCCACTGACCGGGCCGTACCTTGACAGCTTTTGATCACCGTGTCTGCCAAGGGGTAAGTATAACTATATGGTGGGCATTCCTAAACTCAACCCAGAACTTGAAAGTAAGCCCAGCACACTGGGATACCTAAAAAGATGTCACATCGTTCATGAGCCTTACGTACATGAGGCCCTCTAGATTTTACCAAGGCCAGTCGACTGAGGTCCCAGTCCAAAAGAGGGTATGGAGGACAGATGCTACTAGAAGCCGGCGTCCTGACAGTAGGAAGGGAGGACTGAGCAAGTAGAAAAGGAATAAAAATCACAGATAAAGTGGAATTGCCAAGGACCTGGGTGTGGCTCAAGATGCCACGATGATTTCTCTGCTCGTAGAACGAACCCAAGAATCCAAGAAAGATTACCTTGCGCTTGGGGCAAAGGGATTAAGTCATTCACCTGAGTTTACTGAATTTGTTCAAGGAGGATGAAGGTTGACACATACCCAGGTTAGCATTCTTCCCAGTACAACATGCTTAATTATAACTATGCTCTGCTAGCAAAAATCACCACCACATAGAAATATAATATATAATGCAGATAATACACAGATGCACAAGTTAGCATGTGAACGACTTCATTTCCCCCCAAACACAGAAAAATCCCAACTTACAATATTCATGAAAGCTTCTGGATCCACGGCTTTAGTTGGCATACATCCTGAATTCACATTTCTTTGGAACAAATACGCCACCAGAATCAGAAGCCACATCTCCGTTCTGTGTGAGACAATCCACACTCTTGACAAGATTTTTGGCAAGATCCAACATCAGCATTTATTTTTTTTTTCTGGCAGTATCACCACTAATCCTAATGTCAGAAGGATCTACAGCTTTAAAAGCTGTTTCCTATATGTTCCGTCCAGGATTCCTCCCCTAAATTCAGAAACAAATTCAACAATCTTGGTTGACAGGAAGAAAAGAGCTTGAAGCAGAATGGAAACGTGGTGCAGGTTGTCTCAGTGCCACCAGGCCCCTCCCAGTCCTCCCAGAACTCACAGTCACCAACCCTCAACTCCTGGCTGTGTAGAACTTTCTTTGATGCCACTTGGAGTTATGTGCCTATGATACAGCCCATAAAACCCCTGTTCTTCATCTTCAGGAAATAGGAACCACAGGGAAGATCTTTTTTCTTTTTTTCCTAGTTTTGGTCTTTCTTTGGAGGGTGGAAAGATACCGAGTCTGCAGCAAATATTTTAAGTTTCTATAGCCACATTCCAAGGCTTCAGTGATCAGTCCTTTTTGTTTTTTTGTTTTTTTTAAGATTGTACTGATTTATTTGAGGACGGGGAGACAAAAAGTAGGAGAGCACACAGAGGGAGAGGGAGAAGCAGGATCCCCCCTGAGCAGAGAGCTCAATGCAGGGTTCGATCCCAGGACCCCGGGATCATGACCTGAGCCCAAGGCAGGTGCTTCACCCACTGAGCCACCCAAGTGCCCCCCCCCACCCCGATCAGTCCTTTTATTGCAGATCAGTGTACTGATAAGTAGTTTTCTTTAACATGTCAAGAAATGATAGGACATTTTCTCTTTTTAGCGATGGGTGAGATCATTGATTGGAAGAAAACAAATCTTCCGCATTTAGGCCATTTCTATGTCCCTCAACTAAACAGACACATGCAAAAAGTTTTATTTTGGGTTATAATCACCAGCTAATGCCAAGAGATTAATGAGACAAATACCTGGCAATTAAATCATCTGCAATAACTAAAGTGAGTTGCCGCCTAGTTATTTTCACAAACGAAATGTCCCAATTGGCTCAACTGTGTGCCAATGTGAGCACTTCCTTACCCTACTATTGTTTAAGCAGGCCAGAAGGATAGACTTCTTGTCATTTTAAGTAAAGAATGTGTTAGAATTTAAGACAAAAAAAGCATTCTTTGAAGTATTATATTTCTTTGCTTTTACATCAGCTCTTCAGAACTGAGCTATCAGCAACCACACTAACTTAGAGACGTCTGGAATGTGGTTGGTGAAGGAACCGAAGCTGGAACAGGACAGGTGAGTCTGTGAGAAGGTACTGCCCACGGTCTCAGCCTCACCTCTGCTAAGCTGCAGAGGTGTAATGAGGAAAGCCTGAAGCTCTTAATCTGGACTGATCTCAACATTCCCACCACATTGATCTGCTGCTTGCTAAGGAGGGGCCCTCTGACCTAGTTCAGAAGAGCAGGGACGTCTGTCTAACACTGCAGAGAGCCCCATGTCCTTAGTACCGGCTGAGCTCACTCTGACGGTCTGCGAAGTGAGACTTTCAAAAGGAACCTTGGCTCCCACCACTGACATTTTAGGAGTTTTAAAAGTCAGATAGCTAGAAAAAACCAGGAAATCACATTCGGTTCTTTCGTTTTTAGAAATGTGAAGACGTGCCCAGTATTACCTGGGTAGATTGTGGCAACGCCAATCCTAAAAATTCAGGTGTTTTAATTCGTTGGTTAGTATTATTACCGCATGGAAAAAAATGTAACATTTCAGTGTCCTCTTCCCCATTCGAGGACAAAACCACGTAAACCATCAGAAGAAATGACATCAATCTCTGGGAATTGTCTCTTTAAAATGTCTCTCCTGGATTTGAGATTCACAATTATTCTCAGTGATTTCATTATAAATCTGGGAAACATAATCTACTCACATTTGCTCTAATACATTCAGGTAAGATCAACTCCCACATTGGATTAATAAACTTGTGAATATTGTACAGATTTATTAATAAAAGAATCGATGCCAATTAAACTGATCAGTTCAGAAAGAATCCCATGTTTTGGGTGGTTTGGTTTTCAGCCTTTATGAGCTGTGCCCTCCTTGGGTGCAAGCATAATGCAGAGAAAATACAGTTCAATTGGCTACCAAATTCTTGGGTGATTTTATGAGCTCACAACTGTCATTTTGGAAGCCAGAAAGTGACATTCTAAGTCCAGCTCAAGGAGCTACATTTGAACAAACTGACATAAATTCAGTTCTTCCACACTCCAGAATTTTGACCACCTTAGCAACTCTCAAGCCATGGGAAGCATCAGAAACATTATAAACAGAGATGGGGGTTCAGATGTGCCAATGAACGTGACGTCCAACTTGGAAGTGTTTCTCTCCAGAGATTTATCTGTAGAGGTTTCTATCACGGAACTCTGTCATCTCTTAAAATGGCTTTTTGTCATGTCCATACCTAAAGACGGAGGATCTGAAAGACCCTGATATCTTGAAACCAAGAAAATGGGTCTCCCCCTGATGTACATTATGTATAAATCAATTCAATATCAAAATTACATAAAAGCAACAGGTCTAATAGGACAGAAGTTAAAGAAAAGCTTTCTAGGAACAAAGTGAATAATCAACATGTAGCCTTACTCAAAGTTGTACTGTGTGTAAAAACTACACAAAAGGAAACTGTTAAAACAAACAAAACACTTCTCTCTCTCGCTATCTCTCTGTCTCTCAAATAAGTAAATAAAATCTTAAAAAAAAAACCCAAAAAAACCAAAAAACAAAAATAGGACAAAAACCCCCAAACAGAAAACAAACAGTAAAAAAAAAAAAAAAAGAAAAGAAAACAAACAGTAACACAAAAGTAAGAAAAAAAAAGCAAAACGAAAAAGCCCCTCAAGCTGGGACAGAAGTCCTCTTTTCTGTTTGAGTTGTGAGTGAAAGGGCTCTCGACTTGGTATTATACTATCCTAACGCTGAACTGAGTTGTATTAAAACGGTTCCTTCAGGTTGTGTAAGCTGAAGCCCAGAGTCCAGTGGGGCCTGAGCCCCGGAATCTAACCAAAGTCCCAGTCAGTGCTCTGGGCAGACTCCCTCTGCCATCAAATGACTGGAACTTCTGGGCTGACTCAGACTTGGGCCTGACCCCTTCCTTTCTCACCAAGAGGTATCTTGAAGGACACCCCAGGCCTCCAGGCAAATGGCCTTTTGGTTTACCCTTCCAGCTTGTCAGACGTGCCTGAAAATATAGGACTCTCATTTTGAGACCAATCAATACCTCTCAGCTCTATCAATCAACACAAGATGCTTCTTCTTCTTCTTTTTTTAAAAGATAATAGAAATTGTTTTATGTTAAAATAAAGGTATTAAATTCTAAAATAAAGTGTAGTTAAATTTTAAAATGTAGGGTTTGGAGAAAATATTTAAAACATGATTATGGGGCACCTGAATGGCTCAGTCAGTTGGACATCTGCCTTCGGCTCAGGTCATGATCTCAGGGTCCTGGGATCGAGCCCCATGTCAGGCTCCCTGCTCAGCCAGGAGCCTGCTTCTCCCTCTGCCCCTCCCCCCAGCTCATGTGCTCACTCTGTCTCAAATAAATAAATAAAATCTTAAAAAAAAAAACATGATTGCAAAATAAGACAACAGAATGTACTTAGGTGTATGTTAGGCGTAAGGAAAACTACAGGGTTTTAAAATAACAATTGCACGATACCACGGTAGCTGGGTTGAAAGAAGCTGTAGCCTAAAACGGGTTCATTTCTTTTTTTTTTTTAAATTAATTTATTTATTTGAGAGAGAGAGAGAGTGGGTAGCGAAGCAGAGGGGGAGAGAATCTCAAGCAGACTCTCCACTGATCTTGGAGCTCTAGGCGGGTCTCGATCTCACGACCCTGAGATCATGACCTGAGCCGAAATAGAGTGGGATACTCAACCAACTGAGCCACCCAGGTACCTCAATGTGGGTTAACTTCTAAAACCAAATAGTCATACCCTAAAAAAATTTTCCCTCACCTTTTTTTTTTCTTTTTTATAATTCAAAGCAGGATCCCATTTTTAACTTTCAGAACATACGAACATTTACCTTGAACATTCACTGACGTGTTAGGTTTTCCCTTTGACAGGTAATTACTTGTAAGCAGATTTTGTCTGTTCTGCCAGCACCATCCCTTCTGCTTGGATGAACACATTCTAAAGCTATGTTTTATATATGGCAACACAGAGGATATGCAATGATAGACACTCTAACAATATCAACAGAAGAACCCAAGAAGAAGAGCGGCTGGGATTATAAAAGTCATTTCGCTGGGGTGCCTGGGGGGCTCAGTCGTTAAGCGTCTGCCTTCGGCTCAAGGTCATGATCCCGGGGTCCTGGGATCAAGCCCCGCATCGGGCTTCCTGCTCCTCGGGAAGCCTGCTTCTCCGTCTCCCACTCCCCCTGCTTGTGTTCCCTCTCTCTCTGTGTCTCTCTCTCTGTCAAATAAATAATGAAAATCAATGATGCCGCTATCCCTCAGCTTTTGTCTGTCTGAAGGACGACTTTGCTGAGAAAGTATTCTTGGTTGGCAGCATCTTTTCTAAGCGCTTTGAATATCTCATCCCACTCTCTCTTGGGCCGCAAAGTCCCTGCTAAGACCTCCGCTGATGACATTGTGGGGGTTCCTTTATATCAGAATTGTTTTCCTCTTGCTGTTTTTAAAATTCTCTTTTTTCTCTAATTTTAGACAGTTTTATGACAATGTATCTTGGGGAAGATCCTGACTTGAAATTTTGGAGTGACCTCTGAGCTTCGTGAACCTGGATATCCATCTCTCTCCCTGGCTTTGGGAAATTCTCCACCAGTATTTCTTTAAATAAGCATTCTGCTCCTTCCCTTCTCCTTCCCGGACTCCAGTGGCACAGGTGCTGTTTCTATCAGTCCCATAAGCTTTCTTCATTCCTTTTTATTCTTTTTTGTTGATGTGGTTGTTTTAGCTTTTGCTCTTCTGATTGGATAATTTCACTTGATCTGTTTGCAAGCTCACTGCTTCGTTCTTTTATTTGTTTAAGTCTTTGTT